GGAGCGGCCCGAGGTGTAGGGGAGAGCGGGGAGCAGCCGGGAGCGTGTCCCAGGCCCTCGGCTGTGGGTACCTGCACGTCCAGGGCTGCCCCACGCTCCATGTCCTGCTGTTCAGCCCAGCAGAGCCTCTGTTCTCCTCCTCTCCCTTGTCTGCAGCTGGTCTCTGCTTTGCACAGCCTCACCAGGCACGTCGTCTATCGCGGCTGGACCAGGGCAGAAGATATCCTCGCTCTCTTTCCAGAAAACTTCCACCAAAACCTGAAAAACCTTTTGACTAAGATCATCTTGGAGAACGTGTGAGTGCTGCCCCCCTGCCGGGTGCTTTCAGCTGCTGTGTGTCTGCTTTGATACCTGGGGAGTTGGCTGAAGGCAAACTCTGATTTCTGTGGGCATAATCACACGGGGTGGGACGAGCAGAGTTGAATGAAAAATGTCATCTGAATAGAATGGCAAACACCTCACTGCTTGGTAAAAACTGGCCAGGGAGAAAGGGATGTGCCATAAGTGAGCCACGCTTACAGAAGAACCAACAGCTGGACACCAGTTTGCCTACCAGTGACCAGTGAGTGCCTTTCCCTGGCACTCAGTAGCACTGACAGTCTCTCTGCAGCCCTGATGACCCTTTTGTCAGGGATAAGCCACTCTGGATGCTCTCCCTACGTTTTTTTTCCCCCCAAAGCACAGCTGATACTGTTTTTCTCTTCACCTTTTCACAGCTCTGCTTGGAGGAGTGAAGCCCAAGCAAGTCAGAGTAAGTAGTGCTTCACATCTTGATGCAAAACGTTTGAAATGGAATCCCTCTGACCCCCCAGTTGAGGCCACTGATGTCCACCTTCAGTCACTGTGCAGGACAGATATCTCTTGGGGCATACCTTATCTTTGCACAGCTAATCAATTCTGTGCAGTCTTTCTCCTCCACACCTCAAGAGGTACATTGCATATAGTCATAACTTGGCTTTTTCCTCACCTCTCTAAACAGGGATGTAATTAAGGATGGCAAGCTTGAACAATAGCATCATGAGCAATGAGTTAACATCCCAGCTAGGTGTTCATGCAGCTAAAACACTATTTTCTCCCCAAGAGTTTTATTTTTCCACAACTGTTGCACTTTCTATTCATTAGATGAATATCTAACCCTGTTGGAATGAGATTGCCCTCTAGGAAATCATGATTATAGAGATTATTGTCTTCATGATGTATTGTCACATATTCCATAGGCACCAAGGCAGTGATTCATTTTTGGATAGGCAGAATGCAGACAGGCTGCAGCTGCCTACTGAGGCAGCTCTTTCCTTAGCACTCAGGAGGGGTTTAGTCTTTGCTTCTTCATCCCCTTCTCATACCTTTAAGTAGGTGTCACACAGCTGCTGAGGACCAGGTTGGGCAAGTCAGTTTTACTTGGATATATTCTTCAAACTCTCCTTGTATGTATCCAAAGACACTGTTGGAAACTGCCCTGCCCCCAGGAACTGATGCAGAACACTTGCAGCCAGGCTGGTGGTGCCAGAGTGCTGTTGGGAGAACCTTCATCTCAGCTTCTGTGCCAGTTGGCACGGTGCTGAGGGACCCTGGAGGGTTCTCAGTGCAGTGAGCTCCCATCAGGAGACAAATTCCTCCTCTCCAAGAGAGAGCTGCACCAGTTTCTTGTGGTGAGCACGGGTTCTGGAGTCTGGTGCCCTCAGGAGCTGCTGGGCCTGACAGAGCCATTTTTGAACCCCTCAGTCTCCCTGCCTCGCCTGGTCGACGTGGACTGGAGGGTGGACATCCAGACAGCTTCAGACAGCATCAGCAGGATGGCAGTCCCCACCTGCCTGCTCCAGTTAAAGGTAACCTCAGTGCCTGTGAAGGATACAGGAATAAAATGATCAAATCCAACCCCTGACTTCCCAGTGGCAGCTGGAAAAGCAGTTCAGCAATTAGCAGACTTCCTCAGGGGTGATCTCTGACACACCACAGAGCCTGGCAGTGAAGTCTCTGATAAAAGGCCTCTTTTTTTTTTTCATGGAGGGGAGAGTTTTCTTTGCATGAGGATGTGAGAAGGCAGAGTGCTTGTCCTGGGCACTCACAGAAGGAAAGGAGATCAATGACAAAGTCATCCCCCTTTAATTCTGGCCACTCATCAGTGTGTTGAGCTGATTGCATTAGTTGGGAAGTGCCTTTGGATTAGAACTTCCTTTGGGGAGCATAGCTGAAATTCCTGCTTATATTCTGCAGAGTTCTGGCTCCCCCCAACCAGTAAAAAATGGGATGGGTGGGTTTCAGAGGAGGAGGGGGGAATAAACCCCAACAGATTTCTGTGTGTGGGATGAGGTTGGGTGCCCTACGTGGTGTCTGCTGTAGGGCTCCTGCCTTGAGCCTCTCCAGAATTCCCCCAAACTCACAGCAGTTCCCAGAGCCAACGTCTCCATTCCTCTTTCCAGATCCAGGAAGATGTTGCCTTATGTGGAGATAACCCTGTTGTTTCTGCACTGACTGTGGAGCTGAGCAAAGAGACCCTGGACACCATGCTGGAAGGTCTGGGAAGGATCAGAGACCAACTTTCAGCTGTTGCAAACAAATGACCACCCCAAGGCATGGATTCCAGCAGGGAGGAAGGGAAGGGAGGTGCTTTCTACCTGCAGCTGGTGTCACACCTTTTCTGGTGTAACTTTTTTGAGTTAAGAAGATAGCTTTTGAAAAGCTAACACTTAAAAACATTCCTTTGGTCTGATGCCAAAAAGAGTTTTCCTCCTATGTGGTCGAGCACGAGCTGGTCTCCATTTCAGAAAAGGATCTGAGGGCTCAGAGCTTGGCTTAATCACAAGGGTCATAACAGGATGTGCCTGTACATCTCCAAAGTGTTCTCTTGGTTGGATAAATCTTCATTTAATTAAAAAAAAAAAAATGAACTGCTCAATTGTTTCTGTGAATCCTTTCCAGTCTAGAAGAGATTTTTGCCTTGGGTTACCTCAGCCTCTCTGTGAGGCTGCCTAGTTTCTAGGCTTATGTCATGGATGTTCACACTGCTTGCTGAAAAGGGATCTTTTATTCCCTGCTCAAATTGATCCATCTTTTAAACTGCCTTCTCCTCATTATAACACAGTCTCAGGGCACCTTTTTCCAGGGGCACCAGCTCTGTGCAATATTGCAAGGGGTGACCCTGACCTAAAACCTGATAAATGTGTGTGTTGAAAGCATGGAGAAGTGCAGAAAAGGAGCAAAATTCAGACTCCAGCTTTCTGCTGATCCTTTCTAGTGCTCCAGACTGGAAGCCTGTATCCTGACCCTTTGTCTGGGGCAAAGTCCCACCTTTCAGAAAGCATTTGGCCCTCTCCTTCAAGACACAAAACGTTGCCCCTTGTGTTTGGAGACCTGAAATCATTCAAGAAGTGTGTATAAACCACAGAGCTTTGTTAATAATGCCTAATTAAGTGGGGAGGGCCTAATGAAATGAACTCATAGTTGCATAGACCTCTCTCACAACTCTAGAGGAGCTGTCAAGAAAAGACTTAAGGCTGAAGAGGCTTTTAAAAGTTGTTCATGGAGATAACAAAGGGGGCTGTGCACTGGGTCAGAGGTGTGACAAACATCTGAGGACTTCAAAGGCTGCCTCTTAAGTCCTTCTGCAAGAAAGTAACTGGTACTTTCTACCCAAGGGTTAGGCAGCTATGAGAACTTGCCTTCAAATCCTTACCTAATTTTGCTTCCTCTTACTGCAGGAAAATGTACTTCAGGGTGTCCAGGCTAAAAGTTGTGTAGGTGTGATGGAGAACAAGAAGGATTTAGGAGGAAAATGCAAAGTTTTTGCTTTGTTTATAACTGAGCTGTTATTAGCTCACTTCCAACAAGTTATTTTATTACTAGTAATCTGATTTAGAATTGTTTTAAGTGTTAGTTTCAATTCAGAGGTAACAGAGTTTATGTTTAACAATATATCTGGGCCCCCTTGCCCAGATTAGGACTAAAAAAGGCTTTTTTGGTAACAGCTTTGTGATAGCTCTCTTGTGAAGTGAAAAACACTTCTCTGTGAGCTCACAACAGCCCATCTCAGCTTAGCTACACTCCTCCTTGCCATTTTAAGTGTGTAAGAGCCTGACCCTGCACCTGCTGAGCTCTGCAAACCCCTTTTCTAGGGTTGCTGATCCCTACCCACCCACGACATAAACTGTTTTATTTCACCGAGTCTCACAGGAGGAGAAGGGACCACAGCAGAGCTGGCACGGAGCTTCCCGAGCCTTCCACAACCTCGGCCTTCCAGAGAGAACCGTGAGGATGAGAGGAAGGGAGGAGATGAAACTCGCCTGGACGCTCCAGTGCCTTTTCCCCGGGAGATGGCGAGCTTGCTCTCCCTTTCTGCCGGGCAGCCCCTCTGCGGAGCTGGGAGCAGACAGAACCGGTCCCTCCAGCAGCGAACAAACGGGGGCGTCGCTGCTCGGCTAAAGGGGGCAGCTGGCAGCAGGACTCTTCTCCAGGTACATACAAATCCTCTGATTGCTTTTTTTTTGGCTCATTTTGCTGCTGCTGTTAACACAAAGCCTGGGATGGAAGTATCCCCTCTCCTCACTGACCCTTCAGCAGCCCCAGCTCCCCAGGAGACATCACCTTGCCAGTCTGAGAGGCAAAGTGACCCCCAAAACAGTCACCAGAGACAGCCAGCTAGGATCCCTCCTAGTTACTGCTCCTGTAAAAGGCTGCTTTGCAACAATAGTAGGCAGAGCTGCTTTTATTTCCCCCTCCCTCCTAAGGAAGACCCAATTTTTCAAGCTGACAGCCTCCCTTTATGCTGATGAGCTAGTGAAGGTTGAGTGCCAACTAGCAGCAGAAATATAATGGCATCCATTAGAGCTGCAAGCTACAGTCTGCCAGTGCTTCTCTTGGTCATTTAGAGGGTTATAACTCAGCCATGCAAATAAGATGCAGGAGAAACTTCACAGGGTGGATCTGCACCTTTCAGTGGGCTTTTGAGTTTCTTACCCAAAAAAAAAAAGGAAAAGGAAAAAGCCAAGTTAGCTTTGACAAGCTGGACTGTGCTGTAAAGAAGAGAAACAGCTGCTACAGTTTTGTAAAGACATGTCTGGTGACAAATCAGATCAGAATGGAATCCAAGAAGCACAAACCCATGACTGAGGGCACTGTGTAACTGAAAGTTATAAGAAGTGTATTTAAAGACCTTTTTTTCCCCCCCCTTCTCTGAAAAAGACAGCAGGGAAGTGTACCTGAGCCATCTGAGACTCAGGACTTCAAACATCACCATCACTCTGCTGCACCACATCAGCCCTGGGAGCAGTCTGACAGTTTCTACCCCTGGCTTTCCAGGGACCTCATTTCTCCCTTTGGTGCTGTCTTACAAGTTCTGGCTAAGAGCAGAGGCCATGCTCAGAGCCACCCTTGGGAGTGCAGGAACATACTTCTCAATAAAGCAAAGAGCCTCCAAGTGAAAGGAAAGCCAGACATGTTTTTGCCTTGCCTTCAGGAAGGAAAGTCATGACCACACTGTCATCCTCCACTCTGCAGCAGGCTGCACTCTGGCAGGCAGAGAACATCATCCTATTTCCAAAAACTCAATAACAACAAATGAAAAATACCAAAATAAAAGAAACATTACACTGTCTTAATAGCCCTGAAGCAACAGAGTCTGCTAGTAACTGAAAATAGACTCAACCTCAGGGGATGAAATTCAATCCACTGGTAATTCTCTAGAGAGAGGGAAAAGGCTTTGGGGGTGATCACTACCTGCAAAATAAAGACCCTGGTCACTAATTATAATTTATTCTTAAGTACAAGCAGCTTATTCTCCTCAGCAGGGGGCTGGGGAAGGAGTGACAGCTAGCAGAGTGCTCTTCTCATGGCCCACAGCCTAGTTTTGCTTAGACCTCTGCATGCCCTCCAAGAAGCCCAACATCCCACAGCTCCTTGGATGCAGGAAGGGAGAGGTCCCAGGGGAGCAGCTGCAGCTCTCCAAGCCCATGGGCTCTGTCTGAGCCTGGGCAGGACTGGAGGCTGTGGAAAGCTGGGTTACATCTCTTTTGGGGTAGCTGGGTCACATCTCTTTTGGGGTAGCTGGGTCACATCTCTTTTGGGGTAGCTGGGTTACCCCTCTTTTGGGGTAACTTGGGTCGCGCCTCTTTTGGGGTAGCCAGGACAATCCGCGCATCCACTCAGTCTTAAGCCTCTTGAAGTGTGTAGGCAAAAGGACTTACAAGTGTACTGAGCCTATTGCCAAGGAAAATATGTCAGTGCCAGAGCATTGTGTTCCCTGTGACAGCACAGGCTGAGGTGATTTTCTGCTGCCTACAGAGAAAAGGCTGTTTTTCAGAATTCATCTCCAGTTCCTCAGGAGCACAGTCCCACAGCTTTGAAAACACGACAGGATTCCACTCCCAGACTAAAACCTGAATCACTGTTACAACACTCTTCAAAGGAATCCCATCCTGCTGGAGTGCAGAGCTGAGAGCAAGTCTTCACCTCTCCCTGACCCACTTTACAAGTCTGTCCTTCTCCCTCATTCCCATGAAAGGCTTCAGAAGCAAACTGTGAATGGAGGCCACAGGAAAAGAGCAGCTCACCTGTTTGCTGGAGGAGAATCCCTTTTGCTTCCTCCCAGCTTCACACCTTCCACTCAAACTGGCAGCTCTCCAGCCAATTCCCCTGGATATGCTCCCTGCCCTTGCCTCTCCTTTCCCAGAGCTGACACTGGGCAGAGGAACTTGTTTGGTACAGGGAAGAAACCTCCTGTCTTTAGATTCCCTGCTGTGATGCCCGTGAGGAGCCAGGGGAGGGTTTTGCCTCCAGATGAATCAAGCCTGGGTGATTTTCATCGACTGGCTGACAGGGATTTCATTTTCACAGCCAGCTCCCTCTTGCCCAGGGCATTTTGTTTTTGTCAGAGTTGCCTGGTCCCCAGTCATTTGCTGCAGAACAGATCTGTGCTGGAGGACAATCCCTCTTCAGGAGGGTCTGCAGAGCTTGTAGGCACCAGTGATGTCTCCTGGGGGATGTATTGCTTAAATATATTTCACTAACCTTAATAAAAATACAGGGTGGGGTTTTTTTTTTAGCTGAAATCAACCAGGGATTTATCATTGCCATTTATTGCCTTATTAACCCATTTTGATTAGAGTGTTTGTGATGTTTGGCCACCCCATACCTGACAGAGAAATGCCTGCAATGAAGATAAAAGTAAACCCAAGCCAGCTCCACAGAATCCCCTCTTACCCCCAGCTCTTTTCAACACCTTGTTAGAACCTTCATCTGCTTCTGTTTGCTACCTACCACCTTGTGACAACCCACTGAGGAGGCCTCAGATATTGCCTTATTAACCTATTTTGATTAGTGTTTGTGATGTTTGGCCACCCCATACCTGACAGAGAAATGCCTGCAATGAAAATAAAAGTAAACCCAAGCCAGCTCCACAGAATCCCCTCTCTTACCCCCTGCTCTTTTCAAGACCTTGTTGGCACCTTCATCCTTCATCTGCTGCAGGACCCTTTTCTGTTTTGACCTACCACCTTGGGACAACCCACTGAGGTGGCCTCAGAAGTGCTGTTGAGAGACTCAGAGCAACAGGGCTCAGGTCAGATGA